ACCTAGATCAATGTTTTTTCCAGAATAAAAAACACTTATGGGAACTACACAAAGACACAAATTATTAAGATATTATATCCACCACACTAATTATTATATGTATGTAAGACAATAAATGACTGGAGTAAATGTAAGATTGTCCAAAAACGGCCGGGTGAATATACAAAAAATAGCAACATCGAAGAAACAATAAACCCTATCATTTCTGCCCAAGTAAAATAAAAGAAGTGCACAGAATCAAGGCATTGAATAAGCAATAAAGTCTAGAATTTCATTTGTTCCAAAAAAATCGAAGCAGCCTAAACAATAACAAACGAAAAAATAATAAAAAAAATTGATGATAAAAGTATACAATGTAAAGACTCAAAAGCCTTCACACATGGAAGTGAGGAAAAAAGAGATAAAAAGAGCAAACTGAATAATTCAAAATCAAATAATAAAACAAATTAAAAGATAAAAAAGGTAAAGATGTTATATAAAGAAATAAATATTGATTGAAATATTTAAAACAGAAATACCACAAATCCAAAATAGGTCAAACTGATAGAGAAACACAAAGCAAAAAAAAAAAAATGTTGAACGATATAGTAATACCGAGAAAGCAAGACCACCGGAATAAGTTAAAAAAAAGAGCTAATGTATATGTAAATGACTTTTGAACGAATTAATGATGCTACGAAAGTAAAAGAATCAGAATAAGTTAAAGGAATACAAAAGAGATAGTCAAAAAGTTTTAATGAAAAAAATAGATATAATCATTGTTCAAGTGAAGGAGACATATTCATAGTAATTTGTAGACAAATTACATTAAACTGAACATGTCAAAAGTAATTATGATCATCATCGCCACATAAAAAAGTTAAAGCTGAAATATATCAAGTAAACATATGTATGTACCAAATGAAAAACTCAAAACCATAAATAATGAAAAACAAAACCGAAGTTCTTTCAATGTAACAATTATGTCACAAACACAAAAGCATTAGAATAAGTAAAATAAAACTAATATATATCTAAATAACTCTTGAATGAAACAATAATCGAAAGTATCCAAAATCATTTGAATAAATGGAAACAAAAAAAGAGAGATAGCTATAAAAATTTAGCCAAAATGGATAAACAAACCTAAATCTAGTTGAGGAAAACGTATCCACAACAATTTTTAAACATATTAGATAGAAGTCAATATATCAAAATATATTATCATGACCATCGCCATATAAAAAATTAATTCAAGCTAAAATATGTCAAATAAGCATATCTATATATATCGCAGAGAAATAAATAAAGACAAAGTCAATATCTCAGCAATATTTAATAATGAAAATCAAAGAAGATAAGACATAAATTTCTAACATTTATTAACAACAGAACAACATAAGACAATTTATGTGAGTGCTATATAAAAGCAACATCCATTAATAACGTGACAGAATCAAATGTAAACAAAAGAGAATAAAAACACAAACATCATAGATTAATATTACTACAGTAAACCAATACATTCAATATCGCCCACAAACATTAAAAAGATGTAGGCAAAGGTTATTAAATGATAAAGCAGTAATGATCCAAAGTGAAATAGAGCAATAAATGATTGAACGTAAACAGACATATATGAAACAGATTCATACTCAACAGCGTTTATTTATAAATAAACAGGAAGAAAATAATCTAAAGCAGTTTATAACTTATAAGAACATCACATGTAGCTGCACTAAGTCGGTCTAGAGAAACCTAAAACTTAAATAAATCATAAAAGCAATACACTATTACAGCAAGATAGAGGAAAAAAAGGAATAGAGTTATTTAGGAAGAGTTCAAAGACAGAGTTCAAAGCTAAGCTCAAAGTCAACTTCTCAAGAAAATTTACAACCTTCGGTTTAAAACTCTTTTAGTATAGCATGAATGAAAATAGAGGAAAAACATAAAAATACCTCTTTGCCAAGTCGCTCCTTAACAAAAGTGGTAACTTGAGCGTAGTCCAGATTCAAAGCAACCAAGTTGTTCTTCCATGCTTTCCAAACAACATGTCGGGTTTAACAACAACTTTGGAAGACAAAAGCCAAGGCTCATTGTTTGCTAACTCATTGAGATCGGTTGATTCGGTAGTCTATGGCATAACAAAAAAAATCACAATTTAATCAGCAAAGCTAGACACAAACACCAATCCGAAAAATTCTTTTCTAAAAAGAAAGAGAAAACAAAAACTCTTTAACAGTTGATGAAATCAAAATTCTAAATTCTAATTCTGAATATGATGAACTATACCTTCCTAATCCCAAATATATAAGATAAATTAAGTTCACAACGAAGAAATACACAAACAGAACCAGATTAATCAAATCCTGACAATTGAAGTGAGATCAAGTCACCATGAAAGTCATCATTATAAAAATGCAATGAAAAAAGCTTAAAGAGGCTTAACATTCGAGATCTATAAGCTAAACAGGAACAAAATCTCGAAAAAAAAAAGATAAAAAAAGTCGAATACTAACCTGAGCGGATTTGATTGGCAATTCACCGCCAGAGAGCCTCTTGAAATGCTCATTCAACAATCTCTTTGAATCATACTATCTGATCTTCTTGCGTGCCATTTCACCACCTGAAAATTTTTCACCAAACCAAAAAATTTCGTTTCAAACCCAAACCAAACCAGTCAAAACAATCTCATTCCGCGAAAAAATTCGAACATAAACTAACCAAACTCGATCCACAAAAACACAAAGCCATTAAAATACCAAAAACGAAAACCAAAATGAAGATCTAGAACAACAAAAATCACAGTTTGAGAAGTGCAAATCACTGTTTAGAGAGAGAATCTGAAAAGCTCTAAGTTGGGAAGATAATTTTTGAGCAAAAACACTAACAAAATTTGTCTTACCACACCGGCATTGTAGTAGGTGGAGACGGAGAATTTCCGATCGGACGTGGTAATCTTTCGTGAGAAGATCTAAATCCAAACAAAAAAAATCGAATCATGGGGACATAGAACTGGAATACGACCTGAAAGCTCCGATAAATCGTGTGGAAGAGACATTACCCTTGGCTTATAGAAAACAATAGATTGATATAAGCAAAAACAAAAAAGAAACGAAAAAAAAAGTCCAGTTATAATCTAAACCTCTAGCTTGATCATCAATAGCCTCAATTGATCATCCTTCTCATCAATTACTGATCATCAACCAGCAAAAAAAAAAAAAAAACTTTCACGCTGAGAATCTAAAAGCCATAAACTTTTCCATGCTCACTTGCTTTTTTGTTTCTCGGCAACCAAACAACAAATAAAATAATTTGCCCCAAATAAATTTCCAGAAAACAAAATCAAATTGGTGACTCCAAAGAATTGTAAAAATCAAGAATACCATTGAAAGTCATACCATACTTCAGAAGATGAAGAGATACTTACTTGAGTGGGTAACGAAAAGAATGAGGAGCAAACCAAAAGACCAAACCTTGAGTTGATGCTGAGATGATTCTCTCTCCTGAATCTAACGAAGAAATGACGAGATGAAGAAGAAGAAAAACAAGAAGAATCCGACTCTCGCAAATATGATGAAGAGATGAAGAGAAAAAGAAGAAGAAGAAGAAAAAGAAGAAAGATCAGAAATGAAAGATAGAAGGCGAGAGTGAAAGGGCACGTTGAGTGAGTCTGAGAGGCGGCGAGATTGGAGTGATCGAAGAAGCTATAGAAGGTCCAAGGATTTATGTGGACCAAAATGACAGAAAAGCCCCCTGCCAATTGAAGGGGGAGAAAGGGCAAAATAGGCAATACACTGTACTATCTACAGTAAAAGACCGAGCAGCCCCTGCACGGAAGGAAGGAAGGAAGAGGAGGAAAAGAAGGGCAAAAGCGTCACTTCACTGTGGAAGAAACAGTGAACTGGCCTTGTATGAACAGTAAACCCCAACTGTCGTCCTTCCCTAGGCAGCGCTAGGTGAATCCGCCTTTAGTTACTTCGGTAGGTGGCGAATCTACAGTGTGTATAGGTAGTAGTGGAGTAGTCTCTCCTATTGAGAGAATATAGACTGGACTTTTTTCTTATTTCTTAAGGCAAGTAGCTGGTAACACATAGTAATAGGCACCATTCCTCCCTCCCGTAAGCTTTTTTATACTAAATATTCCTCTTAGTCTCAGTTTTGACTCTTCTTCCTTTCTTAAGTAAGAAAAGAACCATTAGTTGGTCGCTGGTCTTATGGTAATGGTGACTATCTGCTTCGTTTCCAATGCGTAGTAGTTCTAAAGTGTAGGAGGTGCTTTTAGCTTTGGAAAGAGTACGCGTGCCCGTATAGGTGGCGTGCCAGTATAGTTGTCTTTCTGGTAATAGTTTTAGTTGCAGTTATGCTCCGTGGTGACGAAATGGTTTTCCTTTGAGTTGATGGTATGGGTGCAGGTATGGGTATTGGAAGTGTTAATAGTTTGGTGATTGTATTGCTAGATTTTCCTTCGCTTCGGGTAGACTAAGAGCTCTTTCTAAAGCCTGACTTCAACTACCCCTTAGTAAGTAACCGCTTTTTCAGCTGTAGTGGACCTAAGGTAGGATGCGGCGAGTGACCCTGTCAAGCTCCGCCCCTTATTGAAAACTAAAGCGCTAACGCGCCTTATATTATTTAGTAAAGCAACCTTTCGCGCTAGGCGCTCACGCTTTTTGTCTGGGTGGAAGCTGGCGGCAGGGCTTGCTTAACCGGATACACGGAATTGGGATCTCTCTCGCATGCAACTATTTCTATCGGGAAAGCCTCGCTTATTCAAAGGGCTGATTATTTAGAACCCTTTTTGCTCATAAGTAAGTGAGCGTTGGTAGGAGCGGCGGGATGATGATTTTTATATAAATAAATAAAGACCAAAAAGAAGAAATGGCAAGATCCATTTTATATCGATGGAGGAAATAACGATGTGGCAGGGATTCTCTACAATGACACTGTAGGCCAATTGAAAGGGATGTAGCGCAGCACTATACAAGGGGCTGCTAGTTGTAGCGCGCAGTGTACTAGTGAATAGGAAAAGCGGATTGAGATTACTAATGACGGATGCAGGTTGAGGATAGAACCTTTCCATTGGAAAGTGACCCCCCTCAAACCCGTCTCCGAAGAAAATATCCGCCGAATTGGTGGCGCCAAAAAGGATCCCCCCCAGACTTTCCGCAATAACGAATTTCCAAAATCCCGGGAGCCCATGGAAGAGCTCCGTTGATTGTGTACGAACAAAATACGAGTCCAAAGGCAGGGTAAGAAAGGGTTTAGCTAATGGAGATATTAACTCTTCCGGGAACCAGTAACGCGTAAACCATGTCAAACCAAGACCGATCAATATCCGAACGGAACGGATTCGAACTTCTCCTAGAATAGTTTCCGGTGGGATATCGTGGGTTTTTCGGAGGGCGCTAAAAAGGTGGGGGAACAAGAGTTGTCACGATAGGAAAGAGAAATCCCCAACCGTCAATAAATGACGAACCCCATTATACAGATGATAGGCCAGGGGATGGTTTACTATTTCAATTTGGATTTTGTTTTCTTTTCTCGCGGTTGATATTTTCTGAAAGCTTTTCACTGTAGCAGAAAAAGTTAGATATGACATTTTTTGAGAGCTTTTTACTGTAAAAACTTAGGGTCGTTCAGTTCGTTCATTCGAGTTTTTAATTTGAATTGAGATGTGATATTGTGTGAGAGTTTTTTACTTAATAAAAAAGTTAGATGTGACTATTTCTAAAAATTTTTACTGTAACAAAATTTAAATTCTAAACTTAAATTAATAAAATAAAAAAAATTTTAAAATTAAAAATTTAAATTAATAAAATAAACAAGACTTATATTTATAATTTGGGGAAAGGACCGTGATCGCTTGATGATTGCTAAAGATCATCAATTGCTTCAATATATGTAAAAGATATATTCACATGTCCCAGAAGCTTCCACGTGGAATCAATACTGCTAGCATTTTCTTTTCTTTTTCAATTACTAATAACTTTTTAAATGATCCCGTGCACGTCAAAACATGCGTAGCCTTTTTAAATCCACCAATTGAAGCAAGAGAAAAAAAGTATTTAAAAATCATACTAAAAAAGAATTAAAATTACATTCCACGTGGAATCAATATAGGTAGCCTTTTCTTGTTCAATTTATATGTATAGGCAAGTAATAATGATACAACTCATCATATGGTTCATGCTGATCCATTGCACATTATCTTGTTCGTTTTGCTGATTTGAGTTTAGAATTCAAGTTGAGATGTGATTTTATGTGAAAACTTTTTACTGTAATAAAAGAGTTAGATGTGACTGTTTGTGAGAACTTTTTACTGTAACAAAACTCAAATTCTAAACTCGAATCAGCGAAACGAATGAGAGTGTGAGTCAATTACAAGAGCTCGGACTAAAAAGTTTAAAGAGGCTTTGAATGGCCTTGTTCAAGAGATATGGACAAAGCAAGTTGCAAGTGGAGCCAAAAATAGAGCGATGAGCTTAAGTAAGCCATCAGATTTCACCTATTTCATTCAAGCTCAATTTTGAGGCTATTAGAATCCTTTGTGGAGCTGATAAGCCTTTGTTTTCCTCATCAATGAGCTGCAAAATTCATTCAATTGGAGCAGTCAAAAACGTTTTTGAAAGATTGAAGGCTGAAAGACGCATGAATTTTGGATGGAATATGGAGGTGTTTAGGTCAGAAAATTTAATAGGGTTCAGTGTTGTTAATGGCTGATTTAATAAGGAAGTAATGGTGTTTTCTTTAATTGTAGTGTCTTTTTCTTATGCTTGAAATAGCTAATAGCTAATAGCTAAAAATTGTGGGAGTCATGTGATTCATTCTAAGCTTAATTTCATATCCTTATGTTATTAGTTTGATACAAAATGTTTCTTAATTTATTTTTACGGATATTGTAATCAATATGTAGTTAAGTACCTTTTAATGTATGGAAGATTTGGATCACTTTCTTAAATGAACCTATCAATAAAGATTGAGGATTGAATAAACTAATTAGCTAACTAATATATACTATTTTTTTTTTTGAAAGGCTAATTTTACTTTTATTAGTTAATAGGATCAGTAGACAAAAGTAATTATAGAATGTCATTTCAGTATGTGTTAGATTTAATCCCATTCATTTCATTTGTTCAAATCACGACTCAAATTTTTTCTACAGTGTTTTATCTCATAAAAAATTTAAATTCTCTTTTTGTTAGTATACTTTCTCTCACATAAATTAACTATTGAACTCAAGTTAAAATCTCGAATCATTGAGACGAATGAGATTTTCTCTACACTATATATTTTTTTAATGAGAAGAGAAAATGTAGCTAGCATGAAGATTAATTGTCACGTCTCAACTAAATTGACACGCACTTAAAAGACGATAGGAACCAATCAAGGGGAGAAAAGCCTCCACGTCATTTACTGATAAATGAAGTCCAGTGCCGAAGACCACCAATGAAAAACCGATCCCGCACGACTGGTGATGTAGCAAGCTTATCAACAGCCGAATTGCCTTCTCTGCATCAATTATTTCGCATTAGCGTTGCTACTTAAGCATATAGATACGTACGTATAAAAATGCAGAAACACAAATTCTTTTTTTTTTTTTAAATATGCAGATACATGGCTGTGGTGATCGTCCTCGGCATTGCATACGGACTCTTGCAGTTTGCATTCTCAATCCGCAAGGCAGCAAGCGGCGCAGAGGGAAACTTCTGTTTGATTTTTATGGTGAAAAGGTATACACAAATACTTGACCAATAATATTTGATATGCATTATATATTGTACTTCTTATTAGCTTTTTTTTTTCTTTTTTTTTTTGAGGTAACAAGTTTTTTTCTTCCTTTATATCTGAAAGATTAATTTCTTAAATGTTTATACTTTATTTAATATGCCCCTGAACTTTGAAAAGGATTCATTTTAAAGTATTGAACGTTAAAAATGAATCTTATGAACAGATTATGTCATACATGCTGGCAAGTGGTGCTGCTGCAGGATTAGCTGTGACGGTAAATTATCAAAACAATTTTGATTCATTGAAAGTTTTTAGTGAATTCTATGAGAAGGCGTATGCGTCAAGTAGCATTCTCCTTCTCGCATTTGTCCTCGCTGCCGCATTATCTGTGATCTCTACATATGCACTCCCGAAGAAAGAATGTGAAACCAGTGGTTGATCAAAGTATATTTTCTTTATTTATTTTTGCTTTTCATGGATTGATATGTTTTTTTTTTCTTGGTGTAATTTTCGAGTTTGATTTCCTTTCTTTTCTCCAAATTGATGTGTACGAGACTTCTATGACCCATGTTGTGTCGGGTACATTAATAAGTAAAAGTTTATTGGTTCTATTTTTTTTTTTCCAAATATTTAAAATGAGAAAGTAAAGGAGAATACTATCTCCATGCATTGGGTACATTAGTCAAATATTCTTACTCAGTGGATATTTACTTTATGGTCGTTTATTGACACATTTCATTCTACTCTTTACATACTTTTCTCTATCCCTTATCAACTCTGAACTCAAATCAATTCCGATCACGTTTATTTCACCGATTTGAGTTTAGAATTCGAGTCTTACTACAATAAAAAATTCTCAGAAATAGTCACATCTAACTTTTTTGTTATAGTAAAAAACTCTTATATAAAATAACATTTAAATTCGAATCAAAAACTCGAATCAGCGAACTAAACGAGGCATCCATCACTTGCATCCCAAACCGTAGAACAATTCCATCACTTGTTTCAGGTGGGCTAGAGCCTACTACCGTGTTCATAATCGAGGAAGGAGTGGCCCGTGGAAAATTAATGGGCCACTCGAGCCCAACTCGTTTAAAACTCTTTTTATACTCCCTGTCGGTAACTAACTGCCAACTAGTGAGAGTAAAGTCGAAACTTGGAAAGTCGTGCCACGCTAGCTTCAAAGTTGACCAGAGTCCGCGTAGTCAGGAAGGGGAAAGTCGCCGGTGATAATAAGACGGTGACAGATGGCCATCGCCGGTACGAGACTCATGTGTGGCCCACTTCCTCCGCTCATCGGAAAAGTAGATAACCACTCGCCACTATCCGTTGCTACTTCCGCTAACAGACTTCTTCTTCCTCTTCAGGTTTCTCCCTTCTTAAAAACTACTTCATTTATGAAAAACCTTTTTAGTCTAGAAAGTTCTCTCTCTTTTTTCTCCTCATTTTTGCCTTTTCTTTTATTGCTTTATAACTCTATTTTTCTCTTTTTTTGAAAGGAGAACGTGTTATCTAAGATTAATTAGTGAGTCACAATCGGTTCTTAAGATTAGTTTCCTAACCCATTTAAGCAGGGACGCGACCAAACTTTTAATTTAATGGAGCACAAATAAACATAAAATGTATAAACATCACCATATGAAATAAAGTAACTTTTATCATATTTTTTCGTAATAAAATTTTATTAAGTAAGGTTCGTGTTACAATTATTATCGACGAGTTATCATCTTTTAGTATCGTTGCATAAGGACTTCATTTTCGATGCTATTAAAAATGTCTTTCTTAAGTATACAATTAAATTGTCATTCATCTATTCATCTCTCATTTAATTTCGCAAATGATTCTTCACAATATTTATAATAAAAAATACTCTCTCAACTGTGGCTGTAGCAACTGAAAGAATTAATGCAAGTGTGATGAGCCAATAAACTAATGGATACAGTTCATTCCTTTTTGTCTTCACCATCTTATGTGAAAGATCTCCAATGCCTTTTACTCCTTCAAACTCCTTACTAGAGCGCATGGTTTTAAAAAGCGTCAGAGGCGCACGCCTTGAGGCGCGCCTCGTGGCAAGGCGCTGGAAAAGTGCCTCAACTCCTACGCCTTATAGGGTAGGTGTTGAAGCGTGTGCCTCAACCACTTGAGGCGCACGCCTTTGAGCAGCGCCTCAGGCGGTTAGTGAGGCATCCTCCTCTCTGCAAAGGGTCTTTTGGTGGGTTATTTTAACATACTGGCCCAAAAGTTTTAAAAAGCCCAAAGTACCCAGACCCTTAATGACTAAGAAAAAACCCTAATAACAAAAGAAGTAGCCAGCCACTTGCACAGCCGTCTCTCCTCCTCCTTCTTCCTCGCACGGGCAAACACTCTTCTTCTTCTTCTCTTAGTAGTGATGATGATTGATATGTTGAGAGATTAGGTTTTTAGAAGTGCATTATGAACCTTATGATATTATGATTTTAGCCTTTTTTACGCTTCTAGTAGTGAAATAGACTTCTTTTTATGTGGATGTTTGGTTAAATTTCTTATTTTTAATGATTATTAAGTATGAATTTAGTTTTTGTTAGTATTATTTTTTTTCCTAAGTTTTTTATAGACATTTTTTTGAGGCTTATGCCTCAAAGCGCCTTGAGGCTTACGCCTTGCCTCGTAACAACAAAACGCCTCGAGGCCTGATTCCGCCTTTTAAAACCTTGCTAGAGTGAACATCAAGAATATAAGTTTTTAGCTGATTATCAAGTACAATTCACTTTGGAAAAATCCTCAAGATAAAATTCAGCAAGGAGGATTAATTTTTGCTTGTTGAAAGCAGAGAATGAAGCATTTGGACATAAACACGCAACATAAAGCAACAACTCAGTATTTGTCTTAATGAAACGATCGTTTAACTCCTGTAGTTGCATATTGATAACAGAATAGAATAACTCAACACAAAAGTGATGCAAGTTTGTAACTTCTTGAGCTTTTCTGCGTGATCTTCCTCGGGCTATAAACATATTATCCAAGTTTGGAACATCAATGTTGTGTTTTCTACAAATAGAAGAAACTTGATCAAAGAAAGACTCCCATCCTCCATCTCTCATCATTTGTAGCCTTTGCTTATATATTTCCACTAAAGTCATAGCATTAACAATGTCTTGATCCTTCCTCTGCAATGCCTTTGACAATTCATTTGTAATTCCTAATATGACTTTCATCAAATGTAGAGTAAATGCCAAGTCAAATGATTGCTTCAACATCAAAGTAGAGTAAATGTAAAGTCAAATGATTGCATCAATCTCAATAAATTGTTGGTTTCACATTTTTGCTCAGAACTCAACCCATCTTCTACAATTGTGTCAAGAAGATCGATTGTGAATGAGCACATGATGATCAAACTGATTAAAGAATCATAGCGAGTGGTATCTTAGTTTAAGCCTCTTCCACTTAAAAGTTCACCACTGCTAAAAGCTTTAGAGACCTTACTTGTATATGATGAAGAATATCACACCGTTTAGAGGAAGCTGCATCCACATTTATCACGCTAGAAATGATAAAGAAGAGTGTTGCAACTTGAATATGTTTCTTTGCTACAGCTACAAGACCAAGTTGAAGTTGATGAGCAATATAGTGAACATAATAAGCACATGGGTTCTCCTTCAAAATAAGTGTCTTTAAGCCATTGAACTCTCCTTGCATATTACTAGCCCCATCATAGCCTTGTCCTCGCAATCTAGATATGCTTCATTTGTACCTAGAAAATAAAGCATCAATTGTGATTTTAAGTGAGAGAGCCGTTGTACTGAAAATATGTTCAATACCCACAAAACGTTCAACTACACAACCATTCTTATCCACAAAACGTAGCACAATAGTCATCTGCTTTTTTATTGAGATGTCACGAGATTCATCAACTAGGATTGAAAATAATGCATCGCCCATGTCTTCCATGATTACATTAACAGTTTCAACAGCAACAACATTTACAATATCCTTCTTAGTCATAGGTGATACTGATTTGAGATTTTCAGGAGCATTCCCCTAATGTAACAGATTTTATAGCATCATTATTATTAACTAGAAACTTCAGAAACTCACGAAAATTACCTTGATTTCTTGAATCCTCTGATTCGACATCACCACGAAATGTAAGCCCTTGTCGCAAAAGAAATCGCACACAGTCAATTGATGCATTGAGGCGCAATCAATAGTCACTTTGAGCTTGATTTGTTTGCTTGTCTAAAGCAGGTTGGATATGTTGCTTTTGATTCAAAAGAGCTTCACACTTAGCCCTAGCTTGGTTGTGAGCACTATTAGGTCCCCCAACGTGTGTATCTAGTCTTTTCTTTTTTTTTTTTTTTCCAATTTTTGCACCAATCACCAACAAAACAGTCACCACCTGCTTGTTCTCCATTATTTAGTTTAAAGAAATAACAATAAAGACAAAATACAACATCTTTGGTTATGCTATACTCTAACCAATCAAGATATTCTTTGAACCAATCACGGATAAAACATCTTAGTTTTTCTCCGTATTGTGTATAGGGAAATTTATGATCTTTAGTCTGACGATGGCAATTTAACAAGTATGCTCTTCAAATATCATCACATATATTTACATTGTAATCCAAAATTGGAATTCTTAGCCCAGGATCTGTCGGAAGCTTAGAATTGTCGAATTCCTCTCTACTTGATTTTGTATTATTGTCATTTTTTCTTATAGGAAACGGCGACTCCAATGTTCTTTTAAAATATTTTAACAAAAGGTACAACATATAGTTAAAAAAATTACAAATTAACAACCAATTATACTATTAAAGCATATTATGGTAAAAGAAAATATTATGTACATTTCATGATACCAAGCAATATCACAAAAATTAAAAAATTAAAAAATTAATAGATTATTGAATTTACATACCTTAAAGCTTGAGAAGCTTTCTTTTCTTTTTTTTTTTTTTTTTCGGTAATAACTTAGCTTGATAGAAAAGGCCAAAGCGGTACCAAAAAGGAACAAAAGCTTGAGAAGTTAACAAGTTGGATATGTATCTGTTATAATTTGCAATTGCAAGACAATGACAACACAAAACAACAACAAAAAAAATGTGAAAAGAGCTAAAACTTACAAAAGTAAAACAGACGATTGTAAAATAAAAATTCTTACCAAATTACCAGCAGATTAGAGTTGGAGAGAGTATTGTGAATTTGAGATGCACCAATAATAAAAAAGGAGAGAGCGACAGAACAGAAGAAAATGAAGTGAGAGAATTGGGGTTTTCTGAAGCAGGGAATAAAGAAAATGAAAAAAAAATAAAATAAAATAAAAGAGTTAAAAGTAAGTGAAAGGGAATTTGAAAGGGCGCAAAATCAGGAAAGTTGCTAACAAAGATATTTTTATCAATTTTATATTTTATTAATGATTTTTTTCATTGGATGTAAGCCAAATCTTTCCACCAAAGCCCAAATAAAAAAGCTGAAAAACCTAAAAATAGGAGAGTAAAAAAGACTAATTAATTTACTTTTAGAAAAAAAAATCATTGGATTTTACTACTCAGTGGGGGCACAAGTATCGTTAACGGGGTTTGATGATGGGAAGTTACAGGGAGTAAAAAAAAATTTTGGCTTCTCAGTGGGGGCCTTTGCCCCCACTGGTCCCGTAGTCCCTCCGTCCTTGCATTTAAGAACCTCCCTTTCTTTTCCGAAACCTTTAACAAATTGAAAATGCTATCTATGGTTGAGTAAAATTCTGTATATGAGCTGTTTTTTCCTCTTTTTTTTTTTAGTAATTATTAGTGAATCTTCTATGAAACTCAAGGCTGTGTAGTTTTGTTTATACCCTTTTGAGTAATTTTCTGTGAAGAGTTTATTGCATTTTGAGACAACGTTAATATTAATAAATTGGTGGGTGAAAATGAAATATGTAAAATGTTGATGTAGAAGATGTAACATATTTGTTTATCAATGATAGAAACATAGTGAGCGTTTCGAAGTGGTTCCGAAAACGTTTTTTATGTTTTTTGATGAGGAAAAAATGAAAAGGAGTAGCAAATGACGTTTGGAGCAACCAAAAACAAAAAACAGAGAGGAGAATAGACGGACTGATTTCACCTAAGACGGGAGAGTTTCTGAAAGTCGTTTTCATTTTCTTGGCTCCCTCTTGCCCTCTACCCCCGAACTCAGCCTCAGAAATTGCTTACATCGAGCAGCCTCTCCCATTGAGCTCCCTCTTTCCGTCGAGCTCCCTCAGATCTTTCTCCCTCTTTCTTTGTTTGCCTTTCTTTTTCTTCCCCACTCTCATTCAGCTATCTCTTTTTCTCCCTCACTCTCTCACGTTCTCCTCCTCTCTCTCTCTCTAACTCCCACGGTTTCTGTCTCCCTTCTCCCTGAGAGACTTAAATCGAAGCTCAACCAGAGGGTTTTTCCACTCAATTTGTCATTAGTATTCCTAATTTTAGAAGGATTCAAGGAAATTTGAAGGCCTTTCTCAACATTTGTGCCATCTAAGGTAGGATTTACTTTCTCTATTACTGAATATCTCTCACAGCCTCTTTGAGTTTTTGGTTAGGGCTTGAAATTGATCTGACAATTGATTTGTGGAAGCTAAAGGTGTTGGAAGGTTTTTTTGGTTCACTTTGTCGACGAACCTCCACAGCTCCTCCCCAAATCAACTGAGGTATGGGTTTCAATACTGGTGATTTGGTTTTGTTAGGTCCGTTTTTCGGTCGGTATCACAAAAAGTGTTATAACACTAGTTATAACACTAGTTGTAACACTGATGACAGATACGTGTAAATAGATATATTTTTCTTTGATTCAGCAGCAGCAAATTATAAGGGCAGAAAAGTAATGTGAAAACATAAAAAACACAAGAAATTGATATCGCAGTTCGGTGTGCACACCTACATCTGCGGGGTCATGCCCAGACAATGAACAATCTACTAAGATAAAGAGATTACAAACATCAATCGGTCTTACACACTCAAAGACTTCCTCATTGATGTTGTCGCCGCTGTGGAGAATCCTCTTAGTGGCATTGTCCAGCGAGCACCACTCATCTTTGAAAATTTTCTCCCGAAAGCAATACGTTCTTCTCCTGAAGAACCACCTTTTGTTTTTTTCACTCAACGAGCATCAAAGCAACCTTTTGCTGCAGAATATTTCATTCAAAAGCTCTACCACGTTCATGGCTGCAGACCAAATATATACGCCCCAAATTGGTCTATAGTCTCATCTATTCTTCCACCAAAATCACCCTAAATAAAGCAACTTCTCCTTCAAGAATTCTTCCCTTACATAGAACCCATCAATTAGCCACCAAAAGTCAACCAAATCAGCTCCATAAACTTATTTCCTTTTATTGAAAAAATCATCTCAAATCCGGTGCAAGCAGCCAAGAATAGAGTCTCCATAGTAGTCTACAATCTTGCTGATTTTTTTTTTTTGAATTTACATCCTTTTGTCAATAAATTTGCCAACTAATAATCCTAACAGGTTCACTCTGAAAGGTGTTTAGCTTGTTCTCTGGTGATTTGGTGTTTAGTTAACTATTTATGTTTCTGTTTTGTATATTTCTAGTCGTTGTGTTTGGTTCCCACGAAAAAAAGTTGAAAGTGTAACATTACAGTATATTAAAAAATAGTATAACTAATTTAGAATTATATTAATTATTTAATATATTATTTAAAATACTATTACATATTTTTAAAAATGAATAAGTAAATTTTGTTTTAGTTTTTTCTTTTACGGAAAACAATTTCTTAATAAAACTACTAAACGCATTTTCAGAAATGATTTATACCTGAGATTGAAAAAGTTTTCATTTCCATTTTCATACAAAAAACAGAATTATTTTGGAACGGGTTCCATGTTAGAAAGATCCTAACACAGACTCAAAGATTTACGCAAGAATCAATCAAAGAAAGAACACAGAATATGTTTTACCAATGTTCAGATTCAAAGAATCATACGTCCCTGTTAAGCTCACTTGCAAGAAACCCTTTCCACTAAGATAAGAATTGATTACTCCCTCAATCCTCACCACACTCAAAGATTATAAGAAAGCAACCTAAAAAAATTGTGCAGAGGAGACCCAACCACTAACATATTTCTCAGGAAAAATACCCAGTGAGTAAACTGTAGAAATATCAATTAGGAGTAAAAGTAATTCATTCACTCGTGAGAATAGGCTCCAAAGAGAGGCTGAGATATATACATGGCTGCAGCCCAAAGAATAGGAATAAAATCTCTAAAAAATAGGAAACTATCAAAACAGAATATCCTCCTAACCGAATCTCCTAGAAATCAGGAAATCACACATTATCCTATATAATCACACGGTTTCCTAATAGGGCTAGATATTTCGACACTCCCCCTCAAGCTGGTGAATGTATATCCTTCATTCCCAGCTTGCTGACAATTTCTCGAAAGCTGTTCCAGGCAGTTCCTTTGTAAGCACATCCGCTAGTTGATCTTTTGTTGAAACAAACGGAGTGCATATCAACCCACTGTCAACTTTCTCTTTTCAACTTCAATGTGTTTCGTTCGACCATGTTGGACAGGATTATGAGCAATACTGATTGCTGATTTGTTGTCGCAGTATAGCTTCATTGGTCCTTCCCATTTTATTTTCAAATCATCAAGAATTATCTTCAACCATAGCAGTTCGCATATTCCCATTGCCATAGACCTGAACTCGGATTCTGCACTTGATCTTGCCACCACGTTTTGCTTCTTACTTCTCCACGTTACAAGATTTCCACCTAGGAACGTACAATAGCCCGAAGTTGACCTCCTATCAACCAATGATCCTGCATAATCCGCATCTGTATAGGCCTCTAGTGTCATACCTTCTCCTTTCTTGAATAAAATACCTTTTCCGGGATTGCCCTTCAGGTATTGCAAGATTCTATGAACCTCCCTAAGATGGGATTCTTTAGGATTGTGCATAAATTGGCTGACAATACTGACTGCAAATGCAATATCTGGTCTAGTATATGCCAAATAGATCAACCTTCCAACAAGTCTCTGATAGGAGCCTATATCCACCACGGGATCCTCTGGAGCATCACATAGTCCATGATTGAATTCAATGGGTGTGTCAACCGGCTTACAGCCCAACTTCCCTGTTTCCTTTAGTAAGTCAAGCACATACTTCTGTTGAGAGATAAAGATCCCTTGCTTTGAATGTGCCACTTCAATGCCTAGGAAGTATTTTAATTTTCCAAGCTCCTTGATATCGAATTCTCTGAGAAGACGTCGCCTTAGGTCATTCATTTCTCCCGCATCATTTCCCGTCACTATAATGTCATCCACGTAAATCAACAAAGCTGTCACTCCCCCTGAGTTAGAGTGTCTCACAAATAGAGTATGATCACCTTGACTCTGTTTATACCCCAAGGTAGTCATTACCTCGGTAAATCTTTCGAATCAAGCTCTCGGTGATTGTTTGAGTCCGTAGAGAGCCTTTTTCAATTTATACCCCATGCCCCCTTTAGATTCAAACCCAGGGAGAACCTCCATATAAATTTCCTCTTCTAGGTCACCATGGAGAAACGCATTCTTGACATCAAACTATTGTAGATTCCACCCAAAATTAGCAACCAATGACAGGAGGACTCGTACTGTGTTCATCTTTGCAACTGGGGCAAACGTCTCTACATAATCAATTTCATAGGTTTGAGTGTACCCTTTGGCAACCAACCTTCCCTTGTATCTTTCTACAGAACCGTCGGACTTATACTTCACAGTGAAAATCCATCTACATCCAACTAATTTCTTCCCTTTTGGCAATCCAACCAACTCCCATGTCTTGTTCTTTTCCAGAGCCTCTATCTCCACCTTCATAGCATCCTCCCACTTCTTGTCCCCTAATGCCTCAGATAGATTTCTCGGAATGGGTATTGTATGAAGGTTGCTAAGAAAGGCTCTATGGCTTTGGGATATGTTTTGGTAGGTCATGAACAGGTGTAGTGGGTGTTGTGTGCAGTTTCTGGTTCCTTTCCTAAGAGCAATTGGTAGGTCGGCATCACTTGGATCTCCATGTTCTTTTACAGGTTCAATGGGTTCAGCTGATGGTGTGATAATTTCAGTATGTCTGGAAGGGATTTCGGGAGTCAGAACAGTAGTACGAATAGGAGATTGTACCTGTACCGGTTGAGAGACTGGCCTTTTCTTCCTGGAATAAACCTGCAGTGGCTAAATATTGTCTTGTTTCCCCTCATCTTTCATCATTCCACCAGACGTGGGCGACTCAATTGATGGTGTACACTTAGAAAGAGTAGACTGACCAAGTGGTGAAACAGACTCAACTGAGGACTCAGGAGGAACATCGGGCTGGCCAGGAAAATCAAGGAGAGAGAGGTCCTTTGCTCTATCTTCACTTAAGGTCTCCCCCTGAAGATAGGACTGTTGGAAAAAGGACTCATTCTCGACAAAAGTAACATCCGCCGAGACATAGAATTTCCTAGTAGGTGGATGGAAGCATTTGTACCCCTTTTGTGTAGAAGAATATCTTATGAAAATGCACCGAATAGCGCGAGGGTCAAGTTTCCCTCAATTTTGGGAGTGGACATGAACAAATGCAACACTGCCAAAAATTCTAGGAACCAGATTATTGGAAGCGTTGAAGTTTGGAAAAAATTTAGTGAGAATTGCAACTGGATTTTGGAACTCAAGGACTCGAGTTGGAAGTCTATTAATAAGATGGGCAACGGTCAAAACTACTTCTCCCCAATATTGCTTCGGAACATTTTTATGGAACAATAACGCTCTTGTGACATCTAAAAGATGACCATTTTTATGTTTGGCCACTCCATTTTGTTGAGGGGTACTAACACAAGAAGACTCATGAATAATCCCTTCCTTTTGGAAAAATAGGGAGAGAATTTGATTGAAATAATCTCTGGCATTGTCAAAACGAAATCGCTTAATTCTCACATCAAACTGAGTTTTGATCATGTTGTAAAAATTGGGAAAAACACTACCGACATCCGATTTGTGTTTCAGGAGATAAATCCATGTTACACGAGTACAATCGTCAATAAACGAAACAAACCACTTAGCACCAGAAACATTAAGAACTGTAGAAGGTCCCCAGATATCACTATGAATGAGAGAAAAAGGAATAAGTGTTCTTGTATTACTTATTGGAAAGGAAGCACGTTTATGCTTGGCAAGTTCACAATCATTACAATGAAACATTTTAATTGTAGACTCTTTGAATAACATAGGAAACATCAACTTTAGGACACTAAAAGACGGATGACCTAGACGACGATGATAAAGCCAAACTTTATCTTTATTTGACAAAACTGACTCAGAAAGGAATGATGTAGATAGGGAATCCTTAACATTAGTTCTTCCACTTTGGGCTTCCAGGTAGTAAAGACCGTCCCTCTCACTAGCACGTCCAATCATCTTCCTCGTGCCCTGTTCCTGAAATATACAATATGAGGGAAAAAACGTTACATTGCAAGTGAAGTCTTTGGTAAGCTTTTGAATGGAGATGAGGTTTGCAAAAAGTTTTGGGACATGGAGAACATTTTTAAGTGTGAGAGAGTCATTTATATAAATGTCCCCCTGGCAGCAACAGTAGTACCAAACCCATCCGCTATAGTTATTTTCCTATTACTGGAATAAGGAGTATAGGAACTAAAACACTTGGAGGAATAGGTC